CATTAAGGCAGGAGAGGGAATTCAGGCGAAGGTTCGGAGTTTTTTTAGATTTAAAATATAGCTTCACAGCATCAACCAACGACGTCGAGATAGAAACTTACCGGATGGCGGGTCAGCATAAAACAACCAAACAAACAAAAAAAAGGCTAAGTGGTTCTATACTTTTAAAGGTAAGAGACCTTACTTGTCATCAGTTTTGAAGTGAAGTCGAGGAGAAATGATGGAAACCCGTTTTTATTATAAGCCATAAAAATACTTAAATCTCACGACAATCTCTGCACAACAATCGCTCGAATAGTTCAACATGTCAAAAATAGGCAAAAAAAAAAAGAGAAAAACCACATAAAAGTAGATTCTCTTAATCCGTGACACCGTTATTTTGTTACCGAATATTTAACAGTTGGTTCATATGTCAGCGTGCATTCATCGAGATATGAAGCACGCGGGAAGTTTGGACAGCACGAAAGATGCGTAAGAGTTGCTCGAGGCGTAGCCTCGAGTAACTCTAGCTTCTTGAGTGCTCTCTAAACTTCCCAAGTGTTTCATATCTCGATGAACTCACAGCTGACGAATGAAACAATTGTTTTATAACATTTTCAACGCAGTAGTTTACGCATAAAGGGCAGAAATTCCCTCTCCTACGCTTCAATGCGTTGTTTATTTTGTTCCCAAAAGTATTTCGCCATGCTTCAATGATCTTGCCTCAAATTGGTCAAAAACTGACAGGTGAATTCATGCATGGAAATGAAGTTTGAAACCGTTGATTGTTTTGTTTTCCCTTTCTTTGGGTTCTTTTTCGGAGTTAAAAAATCCATTTCCAAAGAAAAAGTAGGCAGATCTTTATCAGCTTGTTCGCTTGTTGCCATTTCTAGTTCGACTTGTTAGCGGAGGTTTTTCCCGTTTTTTAATGAAAAATGCTGAAGTTACTCGCGAGAAAAAGTTTTTTTCGCGAGGCAATTGTTTGCTGACGTCAGCAGCGCGCACCATGGAAAATTGAAGCACGCTCTCGCTATTGAATTTGATTGCACGATTTTTCAAGCTATGTTATAATGTTTGTTAGAGCTGTTGGCATAAAACATTACCAATTTTCATGTAATGCAACAGGGAGGCAAGAAGCTTTTGCCAAAGTGCTCTCTGATCCATCTTGTGCTTTCTCTAAACTCACCGTAAGCTTCATGTCTTTATAAGATTATACTGACGGATATACCAAATATTATTCTTACAGGAAAGATGTTAAGGCCAAGCTTTTGTCTCTTCATCCTGGCTTTTATCGAGGACTCTGTATCTCCTAATGAACAGTGCAGGAAGGAGATCAACATTCAAGGCATGGGACTGTGGGGGCCTGTTTGTCGCTTTCAATAGTTATTTTTAGTATGACATGATGACTTAAAAATGGATGGAAATTAATTGCTTCCTCTTTGACCCGTAACTTGCCTCCGGTTCTCACAATTTCTTCCAGTGCACATTCAAAATCTAACGGTAAAATCACAGAGACTGCTGAGACAAGTTCTTTCTTCGGTGAAAAACTAACAAGCAGGAGTTTGAGTCTCCTAGGATACCGTGTCAGGGAAAACTCCTAGAGTTAAAAAAGGCAGCGACAAACCATTATCCAGAGTCTCTCGAGGCAAATTAATTTGACATTATCTTATTCTAAACCAAAAACTGTCCATGAACTTGTTTTATTGTTTGCAAACCAAATAGGTGGAGAATGCCGATCCATTATTTTCAAAGAACCCATACAGGACAGAGTCTTGAAAGGCCGTTTAATCAGGCTTGAAGAGGTGCCCCACCAAGGCAGTTGTAATTTGCTGTGTCATAAAGAGCCCAATTGTGTGTCCATAAATGTTGGTCCTTCCCAAGGAGGGAGCTACACTTGTGAGTTGAACAACGCTTCGGACGAAAGTCCAAGCTCGTTCAACCTTCAGAGCAAACAAGACTACACTCATCTCAGTATCGAGGTAAAGTGACTTATTTTAGACGATGAACAATTATTCTGGGCGATCAGTTTGATAGATTACCTCTTAAACTACTCTTGCATTTCGTGTGCATGTATTGAATTGAAATGATTCCTTAGTACTGCATTGTGCATCCTGAGGAACGTTTTGACCTGATTTCGATGGTATGAGATTGAGAGATTTTTTCATATATTATATCAATATCACATTGTTACAAACATTAGAGACTTTTTACTTAATATATCTATAAAATGATTTTTTTTGCCAGTGTTACTTAATAAAACTATCGAGAAATACTTTGTGAAGCTATGAAATAACCCACATAAATACGGCAAGATTGAAGAAAACTTCACTAAAAAATCCTTCGACAACTTTTATGTACTTATGAGGAGTCACATGAAGGGAGAATGCCAAAGCTGAGATACACCAACGGTGTCATCTCTACGATGTTAAAAAATGAAACAACAAGATACTCGTGGCTAAAATAAAGAGACCCATTGAAAATAGAGTACAGCGATTGATATATTTTACTGGTTTAATGACTAATAAAATGTAATTAATTCTTGTCTTCACTTAATTTATAAAGGAGCCTCAAGAAGGTATCGTTCCGGAAATAATGTGCTCATTCGAGATTACATGATAACCCGGGAAAGTAAACTAATCGATGATTTTGTCTTCAACAATTTGTCTTGCATAGAATCCCTGCAGAAGCAGTTCCTGTTTCAACAATGGCACATGTCAAGCTGGATACACTGATAAAGGATTTCGTTGTAAATGTCCTTTAGGATTCACTGGTGTATACTGCAAGAGAGGTAATTAAATAAAAACTGTAGAGTGGAATTAATACCGAATTATAATCAGGGGAATAAAATATTTCGGTTTTTTTCTTTTTTTTTTTTTAATGTAGCCTGCAGCTTTGACTTTGAAGATGGAGTCGGCGGGTGGGAAATGACAGGCAGAGCTTTCATTTACCAGCCAACATTTGGTGACAAACCAGTCGCGCGCAATAAAAGCGCCCAGCCTCAAGGGGACTGGTGGGTAGGGGGAGCTGAGAAACGGCCAAATGAGAGCTTTCCCGTAGGAGGGCAGCATCCAGATGAAGCCGACAAACCCCATGGAACTCTCACTTCACTTTGTTTTCGTATTGTTGGCAAGAATATTTCGTTTCTCATTGGTGGAGGATGTAAAGTAAATGAGGTTCGTGCGGAGCTTATTGTCAACAACCAGGTGAGATTATTCACTTTGACCTTTATGTGTCCTTTGATTCCTATAAAACAGCTTAGGTACATTGATCAAGGTATCAGAGATTTTGTCTTTCAAAATTGCTAAACCGTTTTGAGCCTCGTGATATCCATAAACTTCGCTTTGGTTTAAATTGAAATATTTACAGGGAAAAATATATTTACAAGTAAAATCTAAGCATTTTCGACCCTTGGTCATCATTTGCGGAAGTGATGATGACCCTGAGATAACCAAGTGTCGAAAACGTTTGGTTTTCCTTTTGAAACATTTTTTGACTTACAAATGGCTTTTGTTGAGCTTACTTAAGGGAAAGTCCGCGAGATAATCAACTTCACGCCTGGCACAATGTTTCACCTTTTTAGTCTTTAGTTTACCCTCCTTGGAAACAAGAATTTTTTTCCCCTAAGTTTAAAGCATTGCAAGTGAATTAATGTACGATGTAGTCGTACTAGATATGTCAACAATCGTCGAAACAAAGGTTTAAAAACCCTTTATGTTTGTCTTTACATTCAGATCGTCAGAAAAGAGACAGGAAACTGTCTGGAGAATATGACCCGTAAGAGCTGGGACGTAGAGGAGTTTATTGGTCAATATGCGCAAGTCAAACTTGTAGATGAGACTTCTGGTAGTTGGGGTCACATCAACTTTGATGACCTTAAAGGAGATATCATTTGTCCTCACGATTTTGACGGGAAAAACTGAAGAGATAGCGGCTTTAAAATCTAACTTATCAACTCAAGTCACTTTAAAAGTATGGTGAAGCAGCGTTTGACGCAGTATACTACTTTCATTGTGCTAGCATAGATAGACACAATGACAATGTTTTTGGTGAACAGTAGAATAGTATTATGAAACAACTTTATGCACGTGATTGAGAAGGCGATAATTATACAATACAATCGTTATATCGCTTTACTACTATGACGAGGATAGTCGATTGCCTTAGATGCTAGCAATCGCATCAAATTTACTTTTCTTAATATTTGCTTTACAGAATCCATATCTGTAAAAACTCTTCGAACAGTCTGTTCAAGATTAGGTATTGAAGTCATTTGTGAGTAACTGCATCCAAAGCAGGTTCCAAAATAGCGGAGTATTAGTGTTTTATTTGACTCTGGCAATGCTTAATCCTCGGTTATTATGCGGAAGCACTTTAGAATTTATTAATACATATTATTTAAGTTAACAAACCCTCTCTCGTAAAGAGTTATCCAATAACTCCCTTTTGATATAAATATCATTTTACGTTGTGGACAAAATAGTTTGGTTTTAACCCTCAAATACCACATGAAAATTTGCAATTTAAATGTTGTTCAGAAATATTTACTCTAAACTTGCGAACACAGTGTCTGGTGTTAGAGAGAAAAAGTTAATTAGAATAGAAAAAATCACACTCGAAACAATTAAGTTTCTTCTGCCGCGTGTTAGCAAGCATTTTTTCTTGAGCTAGAATTTTGAAATTCTCATATTTGTAATCTGACTTCCAGCTGTTCGTAAAGTAGCTCTATACTTAGGTTTCTACGTGTGCACACCTGGCATTCAGGCTGAATGCGATTATTTCAAATTGTGAAGCTCATTTTCGATCTTTTTAAAGATTTAAAAAGTTTTTTTTAAAGTTAGCTGTTGCCCAATCAGAGGAATTTTAAAACAACCTCCAGACGAGGTCTTGGCGCCAACGAAATGTTCCTCTGGGATACATGGGGGACAGATATTGGGCATCTACCGACGGTGCTCGTTAAAATGTTGGAAATATGCTATATGGAATTCTTAAAAGATTGCCAAAAATTGCTAAAATCCAAAACAAAAATACTGCCCAAAGTCTTAAAGCTGCCACCTAGATTTCTTAATTTTTTTTTAAATAAAAGTATATAAAAAGTTTCAATCTTTCGTTCTACACAATTATCACTCATATCACTCAAAAAAAATAGCTTGAAACTTAGCTTCGAAGAGTTTCACCCAAATATGGGTTAAATTTAAAAATATTTATAACTTGAATCTAACGGAGCAAAACACATGCTTCATTTGGCGACCTGCCGTACGAAACGATGTCAAATGACAGGTTATGTGCTAAAAAGGTTGAAAGACATTCAAGAAGTTTATGTGAATTGAAGTTTTCTATGAAATCGTTGGCTTGTTCGTCGGTGATATGTGCTCTTAGCCTTTATCTTGCGCCAAAATTTCTCAGACATAAAAATATTTCTCGATGTTTCTAAAATAGAAGAAAATACTTCTAAACGCCAAAAGTTGCTGAAAAGTTGCATAGCACAATCGGGACGGACCTTGCAGGCATTAAATTTTACTAATGTACGCGGTAATAAAGGTCATGGGAAAGAAAGAAATCTATTACTCTTCTACAAATGTGACTCGATCTCCCAGAGGAAATGCCAAATATGAGAATATAGTATTTCTCAGAGAGATAATAATTTCACGACGTTGCTAGACTCACAAAATTTGCTTAAAAGTTGCCTGCACACTCAGGAAAGGTATTAAATTCTACTAATGAAGACGCCCATAAAAGTCGTGGTCGTTCATTGATATTTTTCAAGGTTTCTTTGGAAAAACAGATCTCGAACTCCTATTTTGAATGCAGAATAGTTAAAGCTAATAGTGTTTCGGATTACAAAGGGGGCTTCAGGTGACCTTTTTATGAGCCTGTTAACAGTTTATGATGTCGTGGTATTACATTAACGTCAATCTAAACTGATCACGAGCGAATGATGCAACTAGCTAAGAATCATTTAGCTTAAATATTTTGAGGATTGTAGCCAAGACAATGATATTGCCCTGAGAAGTTAGGAAATCCCAGTGGGAGTGTAACAGGGCTGGCAACTTTAGCGTCTACTGTTGAGCGTGTTTATGTAAATTACTCATCATCTTGTCATTAATCAAGGCAGTATTGTCCTATACATTCTAGAAAAAATTGTATGAATATGCAAAATTACAATCATGCTGTATTAAAGCCATTTCTACCGACTTCTAAAAGAATAAACAATGACAAAACAAAGTTTATGCATCACACAGATAATCATAAACTATTTAAGGAGGCCTTAACCGAGTGTTCATCATTTTCGCTCTGTCGATTGAAGTATGATCAAGGAAAAGTAATGATAATTTGTAGCAAGAAAAACGTTAGAGTTAACTAAGCCTTGGTCAAGGAAATATTTATTAACTGTTCTAAATATCTACATGAATTCTCTTTAAATTGAAACTATAACGCAGTACGTCTGTGAAGAATGAAGTAACAAAAAATGTTTTCGGATGCGTCTCAAGAGTAGAAAAAAATAAAGCCTCTTCAAAAGAAACATCTTCTTTTTATTGTCAAAAATCATGAGGGATGTTGAACACCAAGTGGAAAGGCATGATATTTCAAGTTCGCGGGGTTTCGGGCTTCTGACAAATTGTCATTTAGCTGGTGTTATCTTTTCACATCACAATCATAGCTAAATCTAAATCTAAATATCGTTATGTCGGCAAAATCGTTTAGGACATCACCGCAACTATAAGATAATAATAAGTGAAGCTATACTAAATATACAACACTATTAAAAACTATTGAAAACTATTACAAACTATTTAAAACTACTGATAAATAAATTTAAGTTAGTTTGCTTTTATTAATACGGATTGGCTGGAAAAAGTTTCTTTTGGAAGTTTGTCCCATTCAGTTATTGTCCTGGGGGAAAAAAGAAAATCTTAAATTATCTTTATGTCCTTTCGGTACAATAAATTTAAAATCATGGCTTCCTCGGGTTCTCCTTTCTTTATTAGAATTAATCGAAGCTACATTGTATTCAATACAGTTTCCGAAAAAGCAGAGGCTCAAGCTGTCAGTCTATCCTTTTAGTCCAGATCTCCCAGATCTAAGTAACCAATAAGTTCGCCAGTTGTTTTTGTCAAACACTAGGTTTGAACTGACTTTCATCTCTTCAAACAAAAGTACTATGTACCTTTGTACATCAAAGTAACTACTGGTCATCTCTTTCAACTCCTCGATAACTTCCTTTTGAAATCCTGCCTTTGGACGAATACAGTTCCTGTAGTCTTTGAGGGTTCTTTGACTTGGAAGCACCAGTATGCCGTTTCTCCGCAGTTTTTCGTAACATGCTGGAGATTTTGTAGCAAGCGACAAACAATATCTTATTATCATTGGATGGAATCTTACACCGGCAGAGCTGCGACCCATCAACTGTTTTTGTTGCTGCCAGAACAGCTTCATGAATGGTGTTAGTTTTTTGCCTGATTTACTTAGAATGTCAGCCGGTCTTCACTCAGCTGATGATCTACCTCTATGCTTGATTTCTTTATTTCAGCTTCCACTTTTACAATCTTTCGTTCGAGCTCCGCACACCTAAGCCGTTGCCTTTGCAGAGTGAGTTTACTCCGCTATGGGGCTGTCTAAGATATTGGAGAAAATAAATGGGCAGGCTCATTCAGCTTCTTCTCTTTAGCCTTGTGATTTAACTCTGACTTGTGTGAATATTGGTGACAGCTGGGACATTGTGAATCATCATTTTCACACAAGACAGAGCAGTTCTTTGTTCTCCAATATTCTTGATGCGGAAATCAGCTATCAGTGTCAACTAACAATAGATTGACAGGCTTGGGAATAGAGTGATGAACTATTTTGCTAGATAATTCATAAGGCTCAACACCAGGACAGATTTGCAGGTTATTTATAGGTTTGATAAGATCTGAGACAGTTATATCACAAACTCATCTCAAGTTTGTAGTATATATATCATGATGGTCTTCTGGAAGTAGCCGTCCATAAACAGAAATTGAAAACCCAAGGCTGTCATCGATCATTAGCTCAATTTCTGGAAGCATTACTGCTGCTGTTTTCTTTTGAAAAAGCAGTCTATCGCTAAGTTCATTCACCTTCCATTCCTGCAATGTTTTCAGCGTTTTGACTCTTTTACATACTTCAATAAAGCTTCTATAGCATTTCTTGTTGACTTCAACCGCAGGTTGATCTTCCACAACAGACCTCAATGGTCGTAAAGGAGGGTTTACCGAGTCATGACTTCTCTTTGCAAGATTTAAAGTCGGTAAAGCGTCAAACTTTAGCTTTTTCTTTACCATTTTTTTCCGATGGAACTGAAATAGAAATAAAAGAAAAGCAATATTAATAAGAATAAACACGACAACTGCAGTTTGTACTGCAGTAAGCGTGTAGGTTTGTTAGGTGGCCAAACATGAATTAGAATTGTTTACAAAAAATACTCGAATACGTACATGTCTTGATTTCCTTTGGATCGAAATACTTCTCACATGTAAATACTTTTCCTTTATCGATTTGAATTTGGAAATCTTTGTCGATAATTCTTGTTTTGGTCAGTTGATTCAGCCACTCTTTACACCATTTTTCATACTCAGCATTTCGCAGCGCAACTTAAATATGCCGATTCCTTTCGTTCTACGACATGTACCGCAACCAAACATAGCACAGTTATCGCCAGGTATTGTAATTTCGAGTTTAGATACTTAAAGGCCCATTTTTAACCGAGATGCCTTGCGCGCCCAGAACATGTTTCCTTATAAAAAATACGCTATTTTCCTCGAAGTTGCGGAATCGCTTTCATATCTTCTTCCATCTTACTAATTAGGGCTTTCAAAGTTCCATCTTGAATCGTGTGCGAACAACAAACTGTCGTAGTATCCATATCAGTAAATAGTTTTTAATTCTTACATGTATGACGGTGAAAAACGTCATTTGAAAAGTTGATGCCGCCGAAGAAGCGGTCTAGAGGAAGGCCGGGTCTGCCCGGCTCAGCGAAGGTTATTCTACTTCGAGATTCTGTGTATGATTTATGGAGGGCAAGCAAAACAACGTTGGGTTTCGGTAACACTACAGACAGTGCTTTTGCAGAAATGTTATTGCATTGTTCCTACGATGGAACTAGAGACTCCGGGGAGATTTTTTCGAGGTGAG